TGATAATAATAAACCCCAATGTGGTGCCTGTGAGACTTTCTTTTGGTTGTTTGTATGTTTTTCTTAAGAAGGGCCCTGTACTGAAGGAGGTGAGACAAGAGCTCTTCACCTGCAGCCTCCAACATCTACCCCTGTCTTGGCTGCCAGGAAAGCTGTTTTATTTTTCTGTAATGAAATACTCCTGCTTCTCCATATCGTAGAGACAGTGTGGCAGATGGTGCCTTGGCTCCTCACCCAGCCTTTTGAAGGCTTCTGTTCGTAAGTCCCTCCATTTGAGCAGGCCAGCATAGGTCTCTAGACTAACACCTTCACAGTGCAAGATGGGAAGGGCCAGGAAATGCCAAGAGCTCCCCAATCTCACCCCTTAGGAATGTTTGGTCTTTTTGTGAGAGTTGCAGCTTCTTTAGCCCTGGGATTCTGGCAGAGCCAAGTTCTTCAGCATTCCTGGATAGTCTGAGTTTTTAAGGACCTTTTTTAATCCAGCTGTTGTTGACACTGTGTATCTATAAGCACAGATCTGTATCTATCTTCTTAGACAGACAAATGAAGGATGCCTTTTAAAATCATAACCATAAAATTATATCACTTATTAGAAGTAAAAGTTTCCCTTCTTTTGTACAGGTAATGGTAATAATTCTGTCAAATGATGGAAGTGGCCACAAGAGACCTTATTCAATCTTAGCAGGAGGAAATTTTGCATTTTCTTTGCATGTAAACTTCCATTATTTGGATGGGGCTCCTGTGACATAGGCCATTATATCTGTAATATGTATTTATAGTTGTTTAAAGACCTGAAAGTTTATGGAATAAATCTGATGCAATATAGCCAGGAGGCCTGTGAGTTTTCATCACGCTATTGATTAAAAAGCCCACCACTACACTGTGAAGATAATGGAAAGAATTGGAAGCTGGGTAAAAATTCCTTTTATTCTGTATAAATAATTTCACATTTGTTTTTTAATAAGAGTATTTGCTTATTTTTTCCCCCTCAAGATAATCTCTGCCTTTGTTTGAAAAAGGTTATTGATTGGATTGTTAACTTAAACACTCTGTGGCGGGTGTGACAGAGCACATGGCTGCAATTAATCTTGCAATGCAGAATCCATTATTGAAAAAGCACTAATGAGCCATTCTAAGGCCTTCACTGGTCACAGAGCAACTGGAAGCAGCAGATTGCTCCTGCCCTTTAATGTCAGTTTTGGTCTTTAGTGTTATACAGCCAGTGTAAGCAGGAGAGATTTTTGGATATTTTTAGGGTATTTATGCTAAAATTATCCTTCCCATCCACCTGCAATTGTAGCAGGTGCAGGATACAAGAAATGGTCTCTGAATGTGCTCACCTCCCTGCTCCTCTGACGAGATGTCTGGTGGACATAATGTACAATTAAAGCCAGTGGCATGTGAAACACTGATGTCACTATAAAATATGGTCTCAGTCTCAAAGTTCACATCCAGAGGAGAGTTTTGACAAAGATGAGAGAGCTTTCAAACCTGATCTACACTTTAAAATATTGTTTTAAGACAAAGGGATGAGCTGTTGAAAACCTCACTTCAAGTTTTATTGTCTCTGTCAGTTGTTTATAGCTATTGCAACATTGCAAAAGTTTAGGTAGACAATAGTTATGGTAGATTAGAAACTGTCAGTGTTAACATATTGCCTTCTCCTTCAACAGAACTGCTCCCAGGGTGTATTTTAGAGGTCTGTCTATTGACTTCGGTGACACCATAAATATGTGTTACTTCCTCCCCCAATTAGATCTGCAGAGCTGATACAGACTTGTGAGAGTGATCCAGGGTTTGCCAGGGTGGAGCCATCACCTGAAATATTAACTGGCTTTCAGCTGCAGACTCTGCTGCACACCTTAGCCCCAGCAAACGCTGTTCATCACACAATTAGGTGAAATAAGCCTGCTTCTCCATCTAAAACACATAGCAAGAAGACTGTTAGCTCTCTGACTTGGGTGCTACCGCGGTGTCCATAACTTGAATCACATTTTGGACTGCCTTGTGTGTAAAAGATAATTGTGGCCTGAATTAGCCATTTTATTTTTAAGGAAAAAAGAAAGGGAATTTGAATCTACCTGTAGTAGCTTGCCACCTGCAGCTACAGGACTTTGTCTTCAGGTATTCTGACACAGAAGGAATGCTAAGAAGTTCTGTGATACGGAGCAGGGATGGTGCTCACTGACACTGCCTCAGGAAGTCTTGAATGTGTGAATTTTCTCATAGCATGTGAAACACTAGATTTTAAACAAAAGTAGCAGGAAAAGAAAGAGATCATGAAGAAGGAGAAACCAGGGAGGAAAGGAAAAATAATTTTAATATTTTGAGTATCTAGTGGTCTGCTTGCCATATACTACAGTGCCTCACCGTGCTGATAGCATAAGTAAAAATAGTCTTTCCAATGACATTAAGCTGGGATCATGGTACCAAAAGGAATGTTGCTTAATGTGAAAGAGCATCTGACTTAGAGGCTGAAGAAAGGCATTCCTTTTGCCTTACATATGGTATAAGCCCTGGGCTAACAGAGAGCAACCAGCAGCTATGCAGACTCAACTCTTGCAGTCACAGTACTTGGAGAGAGAGCCTAATGGAGTGAATGAATTGGTATGCTCTTGCAAAATACTTCCGCTTTGCTACTAGAAAGAAACCACTGTGGCCCTCGCTCTATTCCTAATTTTTCTAAGGAATACTCCCACAAGAGCCCATTTCATTTAGGCTTTTTTTCTTTTAGGCTTGTGTTAGAAAGGGAGGGTCCTCAGCTGGACTCTGCAGTGAGCAATGTGTGTGCACAGGCAAGTGAGCATGTGAGGATGTGCATGCATTTAGCTGGGATTTATTTCTGTAAGTTTGATTCCATTCTTTTGTTTCTTTTCAAATGTGACTGAAGCTATTTAAGTCTCTGACTAATTCACCTCCCTATATGAGTTGTTTTCTGTGATATATTCCAGCACTGTGCAACATTTCTGGAAGCAACTCTCTGCGGTTGGGATGCATTTCTCCCTGATGTGTAGCATGGCACATTTGTTCCATTTACTGGTGTTGAAATAAGGTTTGCATTCAATGTAAATCAGATCTGGAGAAACATTTCAATGTCATGTCAGGTTCTGCTAGTTTGGTAGTATCAGAAAGTATATGTGGTCCTCTCAAGTAAGAAAAGGCATCTTGTCACATCTCCTTTTGCTTAGTTGCAGTCTCAAGGCCCCCAGAACTTTAGTTGGTCCACTGTAAATCTCAGTAAAAACTGTCACTTGTTTTGTGCTGACATTTCAAGGGCTCCAAACCCCGTGATCTTCTTAGACCATCTGAGCCCATTGGTATTGTCAAAATGTTTCTTCATTCAAAGGCTTAAGAGTGATATGAGCATTTCATAGATCTCTCCTTCTTGAAATATCTCCTTTATTTTCTATTCAATTTCTTTAATAATTATGCATATACATTTCTTTGCTGGACAGGTTTAGTTAACCATGCAAATATAACTGGAGAACAAAAATTCTTATTACAGCATTTGGTGGTATAATGGACACATAAAAGAAATATATCCCCTACCGCAGTACTTCCTTATCCAGCAATTCTCAGCAACTCTTTGCTTCACTAGCTGGAAAATACAGAAAGTTTTTGTAGGGTGGTGATGGGCACTGTGATGATGCAGCAAAATATTACTGATAGGTCTGGTAATGAAGATGACACATCTGTGCCCACATCTACCATAGACATGCCTTTTTTTTTCTTATTGGAGAAGCAGCCTTTCTTTCTCCTCACTTAAAAAGGCACTTAGGCTAGTGGAAGTGGAAGAGATTTTTTCCACTCCATTGGTTGTAGTCTAAGAACAGCAGATTGGGTAGAGGTGAAGACCCCCCCCACAATTTATGGTGCCAGTTTCTAGAAGAAGCAGGCGGCAGTGCAAGTTGTGCATACCCATGTTCCTAGTCTTTCTACAGATGAGCAATTGACTCTCCCTGCTCTGACCATGCACAGTGTTAATGTTTAAGTGTGTCAGAGAAGGATTCTAAATATGGGGCTTTCCAAGAAGGCAGGCAGGAGCTTATTGCAGGAGACTTAGACAATGTTTCAGCCAGGTAAGGGTGGTTTGGGAGTACAGTACTTTATTTCAGCGGTGTATTTGTCTTGTTTTGTTTTGCAGAAGGAACACTCATCCTACCTTTGGTTTGTTTGTTTGTTTGTATTTTCCCCTCCAGAAAGCCCATTGCTGACCCTGCTACTGTGGTACCGCTGTTTTGCAAAGCTGAAGTCGACACGCATGTAGGGGCGGGGGTTGTAACTCTGGCAATTTGTCCTTCCCGATTAGATGTGACTGTTCTGCTAGCTTTCCCTTCTTTATTCCTTTCATTTAGTTCATTGTGGGAATTGGCTTGGGATTTTTTTTCCTTTCGGTTTCCTGTTTTGATCCTGGAAGGTTAGCTGTGCAATTTGGTTTCTCCTGTGCCAACCAACTTTAGTGGCAGAGCTCTTAAAAAAAATAAATCTTGCGTCTTCTCTGTACGCTACTGCTTCCATTTAAGCAAAGTTTACAGAATTGCTCCACCCATTTGGACACCAGGAAAGGAAGCTGTGAAATGGAGAATAACCTCATTTCCACCAGGTCCTTCGTTCCGGTCGAAACAGCGCTAATTGAAACTGTAGTCCAATTTCTATTAAGACAGATGGTCTCTCTCTGAAATTGGGTTTGTTTCTGATTTCATCCTTTTTCTTATTTTCTTAAAAAATAAACATCCCAACAAAAAACCAACTCAAAGCCAAACCATTTTTAAGAGCTCTGAATGAAACTGCTTTGCCAATGGGGTGGAAATAACTCTGATTTTCTCTTGTGCCCGGCAGCGAAAGGGTTAATGCCTGCTTTCCTCTTTGGTATCTGTTAGTTGCAGCCCATGTTGTGATCAGTCCATGTCCGTGTGTGTTTTGTTCCCAAATTTAATGCTGGTTAATTAACAAGCAATAAGTGAGCCTTAACAATGACCGTTGTTTCCGATCTTCCTCAGGACACCCGACCTGCCTGCAGTTCACCACAAACATGACTGAGGCTGTAAAAACCTATCAGTGGCAATGCATTGAGTGCAAATCCTGCAGCCTTTGTGGGACCTCAGAGAACGACGTGAGTCCATTTACCTTTTCATGCAAATAAGCATCACTGCAAGCCGCTGCCATGCCCACCCTTGAGAAGCATGTGGCACTGGTGTGGGTCATTGTTTCACTGCTGCTTCCATGCATCTCCAAGGAGGAGCCACCCCTGAGCACAGGGATTCTCCCCAGTGTCCCCATTCAGCCACGGGTCTCTGCTGAAATTACCACAGGTATCATATAGGGCCACTTAAGATGCTAATACTTGTGGTTTGTGTATTTATTCAATAGAAATTAGCTGGGGGCCATGAATTCATGTTGCAGGGAGCTTTCAGCATGATAGTCAGAAGCAGATGCGAATAAATGATAACCCAAGAGAGGCAAGTATGCTCCTGTCCCTGATTTTCTTTACTTTCTTGGTATGATTTTTTTAAACTTAATTACAAGACTTGGGAAACATGAAACCATTTGAAGTACGATGGCTAAGCCTCACCTAATCACCAACTCCAGTGATTTCCAGAGTCTGCAGCTGAGCAGTGTCCTCCCTGCAGGGTTTGCAGTTAAAATCTGATGCTAAGGGTCCTTGGCAGCCCATGAGAACCTTGGAAAATTGACAGTGGCTGGAGAACTTTGGAGGTGATTAGCTAACACTATATTCCCTACAGCAGAATAAATTTGAAGCCTGAAATTTTGTTTTTGCTTTAACATAAAAAAATCAGAATCCGGGGAGCTTAGGAATTGCAGGATACTTCAGAGCAGCTTTTTTCACCCCAAATATATGAAAGAGCTGCAGAGCACATGGTGGGGTCATGTAATTTCCATCTGTTTCACAAAAAATTTACTGAGCTGAGTTTTTGAAAACTGTCTAAGTCAAAGGTTTCCTCTGAAGGAATGAGATCAGCACATGGTGACACCAGAGCCCAGCAAAGCCTGCCCTCTTCTCAGTACAGCATATCCCCGGCATAACAGCTTTTACTCAGGCATTATGAGGCCATCTAGGACTGGAACTCCTCCACTTCTCATAGTGATTTTCTCCTTAGGAACTGAGCTGTCTTGTGCTGAGAGAGGCTTTCTGCAGCCTCTCAGGAATATGGTGGCTAATCATGGATGGACAAATGTGATGCCTGTAGCCTTTACATTCCCAGAAGTCTCTTAGTCTCTGTTGTTGCAGATCTGCATTCCCAGCTGAACATTGCTGGTTACCCTACTTAAGTTTTCATCTTGGCAAGAGACTAATTTACATAATTTCTCTCTTTTTCTCTCCTTCTCTCCCTGTTTCCCTACTGTCTCTCCAACAAACCTGCCTCAGGACCAGCTGCTCTTCTGTGATGACTGTGACCGTGGCTATCACATGTATTGCTTGAATCCACCAGTCTTTGAGCCCCCAGAAGGTAACATATGACCGAAGTCTGCTTTGAAAATAACAATAAAGTCTTTGTGGAGAAGGGAAAAATTTCAGAAAGGTGTTTTGAACCATGCAAGGTTAAGGAAGCAGTAGTGAAGCAAAGGGAGGTAGCACTGGAAAGAAGCAAAATTAATAGATGTGAAGTGATAGTGTGATCTGTGACATCTTATTCAGTCTTGCCTGGTCTCCTCCTCTTCCAGAACATGGCTCTTTTGTGGGCCATGGGAACCTTTGGTGGGTAACCCATGGGTACCATGGCTCTTTTGTGGGTCATGGATGTCCCACATGTCACTGGTCACCTCAATTTAGTCAGCCGAATTGAGCGCTTGTGAAATGTGATTTTGGATTTCTTAAGAAGTCAAAGTCCTGGAGAGAGAGCCTCATGCAGGGAGGTCCTCTCTGGAACATCTGAGAGCCTGTTGGCAGGAGACTGGATTAAAGGGAATTACCTTCCTTTCTCTATGACATGCTTCTGTTTTGGCAGGGTGAGGGTTTGGTGGTCTGTATTATATTTGGTATGTAGTTATAACCTCTGCAGGGGGTTCAGCTGGACTATACTATGACTGGTTGGAGTTTGTCACTTGGCTGTGGAGCAGAGGGACCAGTGTCTTACCACTAGAGGTTCTCTGACTAAAGTCCTCAGAGAGTAGTAGAATTGGAGGCTTGTGAGTGTGAGTGACTGCAGTTTACATGAGGGGAAGAACAAGAATAATTACAAATTAATTGTGCACTCAGGAGCTAATGTTTGTACCTTTGGTAAAAAGGAAGCTAAATCAGGAGGGGAAAATATTGAAATGCAGCTAATAATTATCTAAAAGTTTCCACTGGGAAGTGGTTTATTGGAAGTGTGAAAATATAAAACACCTCATGGCAATGCCCACCCCAGCAGCATTGCAGCTCATGTAGAAAGCCTGTGGATGCAAAGGCAAGGGCAGCAGTGTCTGCTTCACAAAAGTACAGGCAACTCCAATATTAGGAATATCTCCTATACTATTTAACCCACTCTTGACATAAACTCTGAGAGCCTTGATTTCATGTCAATCCTATAAGAAGGATTTCTTCATTTGCAGGGAGCTGGAGTTGTCATTTGTGCCAGGAGCTGCTCAGAGAGAGAGCATCAGCTTTTGGCTACCAGGCCTGAGGAGCTCCAGCAGTCAAGAAACACCTTGCTCCTGGTGTTGCCATACCAGCACACAATTCCCACCCAGAACACAAAGACACGACCCACATCCAAACGAACGGACACTCAAATACAGGAAGAGGTATCTGTGGAATTCACTGTCACTAAGCCAGACCTCCTGGGCTCTGCTAGGTCTGTGTACTTTCCCAATGATCTGGATGAAATCTCTTCACTGCTGTGCATGGTTGCTGCTTGCCATTAACAAGCTCCCATACGTTATGGAAGGGGGAAGGTTGTTATACCAACACGGAGAAGTCAATTTTGTGTGGCCTTGTGCTTTCCGTTTAGTCTTTTTTTAAATGAAAAAGTAGTAAGACATTTCCCAAGGAATTATTGGTGAGTACTTCAGCTGGGAGCAGCACCGGGTGTTTCTCTTCAAAGGCTTGACTGGAAATCTCTTTACTGTAACCACTCTGTAGATTCATGGGTGCTTAAGAGGGGTGCTCTGAGAATTGCGTTTTGTTCAATATTTCCCAGTTCATGAACAGCACATTGTCACTAAGAGAAGCACTGATCAAAACTTTTTGGGATGACACTTTCTCCATTGAATCAAATGTCCTGATTTGGCAGATCATTAGGAATCTGTTTTAAGCGTAAGAAAGAGCAGTACTGGTATGTACACACTCAAATGCTTAGAAAAGCCTTTGGTATTCAGTGTATTCAGGCATACTGTCCCACTGCAATGCCAGCAATACCTTCCTGACATAATTTCTTTTTGTTCAGAAAATTCTGAGTGAAAAATCTTATGTATATGCAACTGACTTTCTGTTTAGCTCAGAAAATTGGACAAAAGAAAAATCATCATCTTAGGTTGATCATAGAAAGTAAAAATTTTCAGCTTTCCGAGCAATCTAACGGAAGTGGCAGAAAGGAACAATTTTGGCTTAAGGTCAAGTGAAGCTCTTTGATTAATTTTTTGAAATTTCTAAACAAAAATGTTCTGAAAGCTGAATTTTCTGGGCATTGCCTAATCCGGGCTTCCAGCATTTCCAAAGTGTTACTGGTTTTTGTCAAAGTAATTATCGAGATCTAACTAAATTTCCCAATAATTTTCCCCCAAATTCTCTACAACTGCATCTTTGGCCAATGACATATTTTGTTTAAAAACCTTCCCTAGCTCTAAAGAAAAGAATCTTTTGCTGAACCTAGCATGAAAAGAAGAATTTTCATAATGATAAAAAAAATTAAAAAGGAATAGTTCTACTTTATTTCAACAAAGCTTTACATGTGAAATGAAGAAATTTTAAGTGAGACCATCCATTGAAAAAAAAATTTCCATTGAAAAAAAATTTATTGCAGTTGAATCTCTTTGAATAATTTAAGACATTACTAGGAGAATAAGTACATCAAATATTTTCTACAAAATATATTTTTAAGGCTAAAAACCTACCACTCCCTGAACTGGCAAGTAGCCCAGAATAACCATTTTTTGGGTATGATGTATATCACTTTCTATGCATAGATTTAAGTGGGTTTATAATATAAATTTATGAGCGCAGCATGTGACTCATGTTGCTGGTACAAGTAGGTAAGGATACTGAAGATTATATTTGGCATGTTTATATTGGTTGAAACTTCTGCAGAATGAAATGTCCCCAAACACTTGAAAGACATTGTGAAACAATATTGGTGAGCTGTTTTTTCTTCCTTTTCCTGCTAATTACACTTCGTTAGGATGAGCTATACTGACCTAGTGCACTTTTCCTCATTATTTAGATAGTTTCCTCCCCTTTTGTTCAGCTTACACACCAAAAGTAGCTGTGTCAGCTACTGGATTCTCCCACCTACTGTTGCAGCCTCTTCTCAGGCTGCAGCAGAAGTATTTTAACCTGTTAGAAAAAAAAATGTAGAAAGTATTTATCCTAATTGTATTGGACCAAATCTCTCCTGGAGCAGCTGCACTGGCTACCTGTAAAATTCATTCAATATCTTGTGCTTTCCATGTGACAGAGCTTCAATGAGCTAAGAACACAAAAAAATTTGAGCATCAAGTCTGGGGAGAGCAAAGTGGAAGCCTGTGCACTTGCATCAGGTGTCTGATACCTGTTGGGACAAGACCCTTAAGCAAATGTAAAATAAAGCATCTTTCTCCCAGTCTGGAACTGCCCTGGCCCTGGGGAGCACTTGGAGGACACAGCTGATCTGCATTTGCATTTACACCCATCTGTTGGTGTGGTTGAACCCTGCTGATCTGGCATTTTGGGACCATCACATGGTTCTGTCTGATACAAAATCCTGTTGCTGTTGTGGCTAGGAGTGCAAGTGTGTATTCACCAGAGACACCAGTGGGCTCTGTTACAGAAAATGGGTGTTTTGGGAAGAGTGACTGGAAATGAGAAGTGTGTGTGCTGCAGGAAACTTCTGTGGTGGTGCTGGTGGTGGGATCAGCAGATGTGGGTTAGTATTTTGGCTGGTCCTCAGCTACCAGGACCTAGAGACTTCCATCATAAAAATCTCCATCACATCCCAGTGTCTTGATGTTTACTCTGACCTTGGAGGAGTAGGACAATGTCTGCATTCCTAAACAGAGAGGACATGCATGTTGTTTTGCCCTGTGTGTTTAGCAGACACTGCTGGCTCATCATGAAAGTCTCAGGTAGCCTGGCTGGGGGAACCAGCTGGTGTAGAATTTCAGTGGTCTCCATTCCTGTGACAGAGATATTGCTAAAGGAGCTGTGCTCTCTGTGCACACCTGCTTTCCTATTTTGTGGTTTTGATCCAGAGCTGTTTTTTCCTCCCACAACTGTTCTGCAGCCAACAATATCTTTCATGTTCAGAAATACTCCTCCATGGCCATGCTGAGGTTTCATCAGAATGAAGTATGACAGAAGGACAGATTGCTAGATCTTCAATGCCAAAGCACTGTTTGCCACCTGAGATCAGTGTGACAGGGTGCTTGCCCACTGTGGACCAGCTGTGTTTCATCTCTCCAGCTTTATGCTGTGTGCTGTGTAGCTAGGCAGCTCCAGGTAACTTTGGCAGCGGATTAGATATAAGCTCTCCCATGTGGAGAACTTCCGCCAGCTACAGCCTCCCTTCTTTGCTAGCTGAGTCCAAGATAAGGGGCTGGAATGGACCTCTCAGTGGCATATTTACCATGCATACAGAGCCATGTGTGTTGGTGCATGTTAGAAATACTGACTGACCTCCCAGGTGAAAAATGCACCAGCTTTGCTGAGAAGAGGAGAGATTGTGGCACTACCATGGGGGTGAGGAAGAGGAGTTTAGAAAGTCTGATAACCGATTCCCTGTCACCTGCTGCCCCACTGGGGATAGTCTCCTGCATGACTGCTGGGATGTGTGACTTGGGCAAATCCTGGCACTGATCTGGTCTGGCCACTAAACAGTGTGAGGGCTCTGGCTCAGTGTGCTGCTCTCTTGCTATGGCAGGTTATGCAAGTTTGCTGGCAGTCCCTGAGGTGAACAAACTCTAGTGTTTTTTCAAAACTCCTCTGTGTAAGCAAGGCAATTAATATTTTAGCACAAATCAGGGCAAACTACCAGAAGATGGTAGATCCTGCATGCCTTGAAGACTTCAAATCAAGAACGGACAGATTCCTAGATGTATTTTAATTGAACACAATCTTATTTAATCACAGGAATGTCTGACTGAAAAAGGTTTATGTTACAAAGGAAGTCAGGCTGGATGATGTAATTGTTCTTCCTGGCCTTATTATAAAAACAGATGTTTACTGTGGGAGAGGATGTATTTAAATACAAGCGTGTCTGCATAATGGCCTTAAAGTATGTTAATTAAACATATGCACTTGATCCTCATACTTTTGACTTCTTTTGGATAAACTAAAAGAGGTCAGTTAGAGAAAATCATCGTTATTGATGCAGTAAATTGTACATTACCTCCTTTATGCCCACAATGGCATCTACTTTGGTATTGGCTACCTCGGGCTGTTCCAGAGACTGAACAATTCAGACTGTATTGTGTGAAACCATGGCTTGCCTCTGGCTCTCCCTCCACCACATTTGTGTTCTGCTCTGCCCAGTTTTCTGTCCATTGTGGGAAGACTGGCTGGGGAGGGCAGCACCTGCAGGGGCAGACTCAGAAACCAGAGGGGTGGAGAGATCACCACTGAACAGGGGCATGCAGATGGTGCCACTGAGGAAGTGAACTCGTGTTGCCAGCACAGAGCCTCCCCCATAGCTTGGAAAAGGCAATACCTTTGAGAAACATGAGATGGGTCCTAATCTGCCCCCAAACTGTGCTTCCATAGCTGTGTTGTTGCATCAAGTTTACAGTGCACAGAGTTTACATTCTGTAAATGTACCTCAGACCAGCTCTTGAGCTAAGAAAGCCACCATTGAGTGTGTTCTTTTGAAGCAAATGTTACTCTAAATAACTTTGCAATCATGATTTTTCATCTGTCTTTGAAAGGAGCTTAGTCAATTCTGCCCCAAAGGAAGATTCTCCTGCACCGTGCTGTGTTATGGGGCTGTAGCATTTTCTTTACACCTTCAGCATGTGTTTTGACAGGGGTCATTTGGGAGGTGAGGAGTGGATGGGGGTAGAAAGGAATATTAATTAAGCTTGTCACTGCTAGATGGATACTGTGCATTCTGGGCAAGAAAACTCCAGGTAGAGCTGGACATGATTTTTTTCTGCGTAGAATGAATTTATTTTTAAAAAATGTGCTTTTGAGAGAACCATAATTATTCATATATCAAAGTCCAATCTTGCAAATTATTTAATACAAAAACTAAGGGGAAACAATCAAAAGAGTTGAAAATTATTGTTTCAATCTTTTTAGAAAAAAATCACTTCAATATTTAAATTTTAAAATTAATATAATTTATATTAGGAAAAATCTAGCACCAGTCTGTGAGGGATGAAAGTGCAGATCTTATGGAGGACACAAGTGAAAGATAGATTTTCTTTTCAGTGTTGTTATGGGAGGCTTTGGGATGATCATGAGGAGGTCACCTGACATTTTAACAGTTGTCCAGTTCCATAATTTTTGGAAAATAAGTTCTGTGGAGAGGAGCAGGCAGACAGGTTAGGAAAGCCCTTCTCTAACCAGTTCTGGGTTCATTATGATCTTACCATCTCCCAGTTTTACATGACAGGAGGAGGGGAGTGTGCAGCTGAGCAGGGTGACTAGGGCTACCAGGCAGGAGCAGGGGGGGGCTGCCCCGGCCCCCCAAATCAGGGGGTCTGCAGAAGGAGCCCCCAGCCAAGCTGGCAGGGATGCTCACGGACTGAGCACACCTGCAGCTCAGTTCCCAGCGCTGAGCCGGATGGGAACAGCCTGTCCTGCAGGGCTGTGGGGGCTGTGCCCATCCCGGGGCACTCAGAGCTGCTCTGAGCCAGCCCGCGGTGGGACGTTCCCCACACCCCACCCATCGGGAGTTATAAAGCACCAGCTTATTGCCACTTACAACAAGGATTGTGGCACCGCTGTGGGCAGGTGCCCAAATCTGTGCCTCGCTTCTGGAGAAAAGGCAGGATAGCAATCCTTAGCTGCTCCTGCAAAGCATTTGGAGCCTACAGTGTACAAGCCTTAAATGCTGCTATGTGCCACAGTGCTGCACACCCAGGCTGTGGCAGAACAAGAAGAGCCAGCTCTTCTGGGCTGTTCCTTACACCATTTATTTCTGCCAGCCACAGGCCCATGACGCTTTCTGGGAGATAGGAACAGGTGACAAGGCAGGAGGTGGATGTGAAAGATCCAAGACCCTGTAGAAGGAACAAAAAAGTTTACTTGCTGCACTGTGCCTCCCCTCTGGTAAAAGAGGGCAGGAATTGTGACTGGCAGGCAGCCAATTCCATCTTTGCTGGTGATACAATTACTAGCAATGACCTCCAGCCACAGCAGTAGTAAAATGGCTTTTCAGGGCAGGCACCATACCTGGTCTGGTTTATGTAAGATAAACTCAGGTTTGCTGGAGGGGCAGGGAGAGGAGGGGGGTGTCTGTGGTTTGAAGGGGACTGATTTAAAAGTGTAGCTGCCCAGCCCACTCCCCATTGTGTTGCCCTGGCTCTGTAGGCTCAGGGAATGTCCCTGTCCTACCAGTGCCCGTGCCATCCTCCAGGGCCAAAGCATCATGTCCCCGCTCGTGGGAGCAGCTTTGCAGAGTGCTGGCACTGTCCCAGCTCTGTCTCTGGCAGTGCTGCCCAGGGCACAAGGTCTCACTGCCCTGCAGACAAGGGTGGGAGTGACTGACGCTCCCAGGCAGTGTCCTGGGCCCCGGGGGTCAGTGGCAGTCTTGAAGGAGGCAGGGCTGCAGGTTGTGCAAGCACAATTTTGCTGTCCTGATGGCCAAGCCTTAGCGCAGGGCAGAGGAGAGGTGCATCACTCCCCTGTCTCTCCACCACTGGGGTGTTTGGACATTCCTCCACCGCTGTGCATTGAGGCACTAAACTGAGGGCAAAGGGGAAGGTAAAGAACAGCAAGTGCCTCCAGGGGACAGAAGAGGTTTTAGGCTTTACCCTTTTATTGTATGCCAGTGAGAATGCCAGGCATTTAGCAGCTGGGGAATCAGGCCAACAGTTTATTAATATTTGTTGTGTATTTCTGCCATGTTGGGTGAAAGTGTAAAGTGTTACTACAGTAGTGCATTTAGAATATATGTTGTTACTGATGTTTTGAAATGAGAAAAATTACTATATTCAGATCAGCTTACTGTCCTTTGTGTGCATGAAGTTAAAAATAAAACACTTCATGCTGGAAAATTGCTGATTTTTCAGGTATTGATATTTTCTTTCAGACTCCTGTCAATCTAGTTATCCATCTGATACAATTCATTGTAACAAACTATAGGTTGCACCTCCATGGTGACTCGGGAAATATTTCATCTCTTCCTGCTTTCAGAAGCTAGGGAGAAATAAGGGCAGGTTTTATTCTTTGTATTTGGAAAGACTGATGAAGGATGACACATTCATTTCATGTTCATCTCCTTTCCATGTCTTGAATGATTGAATTGGCTGGCTGTGACAGCATTCCTTTCTGTAGTGGTCTGAAGTGCTGCCATGGCTCACCTCTCTATGAGAAGGCACAGTCCAGCATTTTGTTCAGGACTCCTCCTGCTATTGCCATATATGACTTTGGAACTGCTAATTCTCATCAGGGACCCTTGTGCCTACAAGATAAGCACTCCCCTTCCATTTCTCAAGATCTTCTGCCTGGAAGACCAAACCCCCTGCTGCCGATGAACTCTGATGAGCACACATCTGTTTCCACCCTCAACATGTGCTTCTGCTGGACACAGGAACACATTTGGATGCTCCCAATGTACTCCCACTGCAGAATTTGTGAGCAGCAGTGAAAAAGGAAATATCTGGTGAAAAACAAAGAACAAGACATGAATGTTATACCTAACCTACTCTTCCTTTGTAGCTCTTCTGGAGTGCAACACTAGAGATGTGCCCCTGCACGCTCTTGGGAAGGCTGTGCTTGAGGAATTTCCAAGAGTCATCTCCTTTGAGCTTCTTTACAGAGTACCTTTCCTTGTTCATTCTCATTTTCTTACAGTATTTCAGAGACAGTGTATAGTAAAACTGATTTGAAAGGTTTAGAACAATTCAGAAATAGACAGGTCCAAATCAAACCATCAGCTTTTATCTCTCCCTTAGAAGTGTTCAACAAACCTTTGATCATTGCTGAGAATCAAGCTTGTGTGCTTATTTAATCTCAACTCATCATTAAGGCCATACAGGAATTCATAAAGACTTTTCAGTCAAAAAATGTTCTTTTAAAAAAGTGAGAGATATTTACTCTTTACCTTGATGGCTTTCCATTTCTTCTGCTGCAGCAGAAATCAACAGTCTTCCTGTTTACTTGGACTTCCATCCAGCACTGCAGCCTGCCTCAGTGGTGGGCATAGGCCTGGAAATAATGTACTTCATTGGACTGCAGACAGAAAGAGAAGCTCAAGAGTATTTAAGTAAATTGTCATCTGTGTGACTCAGTCAGATCTTCTAAGAACCAGAAGCTTATGTACATGCTAATTTATTGGATCACCTGTTCTTCATCTGCCATTTCAGGTTGAATGTGCCATTGATATATGCCTTTTTTTTTTCCACTAGAAGTGGTTGAAAAGAAAAACACAGCAATTAAAAATGGGGGATGAGGACGATTGAGTTACAATCTTCGCTGTTGATCCTTTATTTGATTTGGGACAACATTGTCCCCATTATTCTAAAGGAAAATAGAAGGAGAATAAATCTGTGACATCATAGCACTTCTCCCAGATAAAAGCTTTTACAAGATGTTTTCTCATCATCTTGTAAATTCACTTTTAAAATGCTGAAGTAATGATCTCTGAATAGTGACACCTGGCACAGCCTTGCTGTGTGATGCTATGGTATTAATTTTTAATTAGGAGACTTTAAGTTATATATACAAATATATATATATATATACACACATATATATTTGTGTATCATCCTAATGTTGTTTACTGTAAACATTGCTCACTGATTAGGAATAGGTTGAGAGTCCTATAATAAGCATTACTGAAGAAGAAGAAAAGAGCAAATCCTACTTGTTTTGGAAAGGTTTAGAATTCTAAGAAATAGGGCAAAACATTATCCCTTACAACTTAATCTGAATTGTGTTTGGAGTGTGACTTACCAACACATTAAAGAGATCCAGTGTTCTAAAATATAGGACTGATTCTCAGCTGCTCTTAGTCAACATTCATCCACTGACTTTATGGTTGGCCTGGTATCCTTAAATATGCCAAGTCTAAGTCTTGGACTTTAGTTTTTATGAAAAGGTGTGTGGCTGCTTAATAGTTGAGCACACTCAACACATGCAAGAAAACAGTTATTTCTATCTCTGTCTATAAGTCTGGTCTGTTTATGCCCTGTTCTGTCTCAACCTGGCTCTGGTGATGACATGTCACAAGCTCCAAAGGAAAGTGAGAAATCTCAGCAAAAGATGATGATGGAGCAGTCAGCAACCAGGGCAAATGTCTCTCTAACTTCATGGAGTTTGAGCTTGTTTCACCAGTTTTCAGTATACTACCTTCTGATTTTCTGTGAACAACTCCTCACTGCTATATCAGGAAACAGTGGACAGCAGGACATTATCTTCCTCACCTGTATGAGACCTCACTTCAGCCAGCTCCACCCTCCCCTCTCTTACTCATTTCTCAATCTGTTCTAGTATTTTTGATCTGTCTCTTCACATGGAAATCTTTTCCAGCCACTCTCATTTTTAGCATCTCTCCCTGGAGTCAGTCCTCTTCAGCATCATTTGCTCTGAGACAGCCACCCAGGATACGCCACAAGTGTTTAAAGCTTTACTTCCAAGCTTTGCTTCTCTCCCAACAGTGTGTCCTGACAGTATGTCTTTGCCTTTTAGTCATCCCATGAGTAGGCCCATGGTCATCTCTGGGATATTTTTCCTTTGTGATTACAGCTCAACCCAAAAGGAACCTGTGTTACAGCCCAGCAAAGCCATGCAGCCTTGCTGCTGGCACACACACCCTCCTTCCCCAGTGCTCCAGCTGGGGATGTGGTCAGGCTGCTGGTGCATGAGATCACATCCAGCAGGGCTACTCCCTGGAAGCCAAAGTGTTGCTTAGTAACCCACTCATGGAAGTACCAGAAGCATTTTTCAATCTGTCGCATTGGCAAAGAACACTGGCTTCTTGATTTAGAGGCATTCTGCTGTGCGTGGCAGGGCCATGCTCCATTATCTTGCATCCAGCACTATCTGCAAGCAAGGAAATGAACCTCCCATTTAATGGAGGGGCTGGGAGAAGGTGGGGGTGTGAGGAATAGAAAATATTTTTCTAGGAACATGAAGCTTTTAGCTGGTTGTCTTGGCATCTAGTCCTCATCTTAACTCCCTTCCCATGGGAGATATTCTCTGCTTATGAAATGCACTCCAGGGTCCTATAGCAATTGGCCAAACAGGACCCTGCAGCACCTTCATCTATTATGAGACATTACTGCAATAAAACTTGGTGTGTCATACAGAAACTGGATGAGGTATTGCAATATTTATGCTGTAAGCCTCAGTGTCATGGACAATTGCTACAGAATAATGTATGTCTTTTCTTAATGCAGTGGAGTCACAGCAGCTTCAACAGAGCACACTGAACACAGATCATCTGTGATTGCATGGTTTCCTCAGTTATTTTCAAATTATTCTGTTACAGACACTTAAATGAAAAATATTCTCTCATTTAAAAATAGACCGTAAAGGCTCTTAGGTTACTCCCCCTTTTAAGAATAATTCAGTCTGAGAGCAAAACCTCCAAGAACTGGATTCTGACTTGAGGGTTTTACTCCTTTATCTGGCACTGGTTTATAATTTAAAATGGCTTCAAAAAGTAACTTGAGGGCTTTTATTTGAGGTACCTTATTGAATTGCTATCTCATCTCCTCATTTTGGAAATGAAAAGGTATTTTAAACAATGTCTAGCTTGGAGCTCTGGGGACCAGCTGGACTCTTCCCATCCTACTTCTTGCTGTCAAAGACAGTAGAACCATAGAGTGTGTCCAGCCATGGCATCACCCATTTCTGTGGCTTGCCTCCTGTTGACAGATTGTGTCCTGGAAGCCCTCTGCAAAAATTTGAAGGGCTTTTATATGGGTCATTGAAGGTCCAGGGTGGTCTGAAGACAAGGTTGTTAGACAAATGTACCCAAGGGTTCTTTTGGTCTTTGAAGTGTTATTTACCTGGAATGATGCTCAGTGTTGCAGTGATGAAATCAGCAAGTTTCATCACATTTTTTTTGTGTAAGGCCTTGTCAGTGCAAGGCCAGTGACATGCACAATTCATGTGCCAAAGCTTGGCTCAGCATTAAGATGAAAAAACATCCCACAGTATTGGAAGCTCCTGACCTAATTTCTGAGAACTTTTTGAGGAGCTGAGTATCTTCCTGTGCTCTTTCCCAGTCTAATAAATAAATTTGGCTATGGGATAAAGAGCCCTTCAAATTCATTGTATGTAGTTGTATTTTTATTGCACATAGTTTAAGAAATACAGAAAGTGGTCAAAAAAATGCTCCTGATGACTGGCCAGCATAAGAGCATTTGATGATCTGCTATGGATCCCAGAGCAGAAGTGTCTGCATCACAGAAAGAGTCTCATCACATATATCACAGAAACAGTTTGCTCCAGGGGGCAGGGAGCATTCTTGGCAGGGAAGCAAAGACTGTGAAGATTTTAACTCTTAGAACTGGCTGTGCCAGCTCAGAACTGATGGAAAGCTTGCCATTGTGATGCTTTGCTCTGTGGAAAAAGCATTCAGAGAAGCACTAAGTGTACAATGCATTATTGTTTTAAAAGAATCAGAGTATCTGTTTCCAGTCTTCTAATACATTAACCTTGAAGTTTGTTTGTAATTAAATAGTCTAGCCTTACCAGTTAGGCATTGAAGCAAGAGACTTCTTGTTATAAAGACAGTGGGCTAGGGAAGGGCAGGTGTACTGGGTAACCTCTAGGCAATACTGAGAAAGCACATCCACTCCCTGCATTCACAGGGGAGGACACCTCTTTCTTTGCACTTACTGCACATTCTGCATCTTAAAATTATTTGAGGAGAGAACAACATTTTAGAGCAACTGAGTGAGCTACAAAGCAGGAGATGTTCCACTAGCATTAATTCTTGTTGTTTAGGTGTTGGGGTTTCTATCTGCTCATATACTCACAGCCTTCTTTTCAACATTTGAGGATTCTCTACCTTACTTCTGTCTCACCTAACTGGGATCTTCCTGCCCTTGTGGAGACAACAAATTGTGGGCTGGAAACTGCCCCACTTCCTGGCTGTACATACCCCTATCTATACAACATGTATGTGTATGTTGAGTGATTGCATTGTAGTGGCTTTTGTAATGCAATAACTGTGGTGTCAAGAAAATGTGGTTGGAGAAAATTATACTTACAAATTAACAGGAATAGAAAATTAAAAGTCACTGAAAAGGCAATACAGCCGAAGAATTCTTACTGTGAGCCACCACCCACCACCATGTTTACCACAATATGCCAACTTCTGTATCCTCTAAATAGCCTTTTATCCTCTGTAGCAGAAGTGAAGTTTAATTTTGTGTCTGTACTCTGAACTGGAGACATTGGTACTCAGTCTTTTCATAATGTGCTGATGAATTGAAACGCTAACCTTGTCACGGGTTTGCCAGCTTCCTTAGCTTCCCACCAAAATAATGCAATGCCAGTTGCTGAATAGCATGGAGGAGTTTTGGGTGCTGATTGAAGTGTGCCATTGAAATATTGGTCTTCAGGGCCATGAGGTTTTATATTGATGCCTGTAAGAAAAACCCAGCAGTCTCAGATGAACCCAAATGTCCTATTAGTCACATTGCAGGTACACAGACAAGTCAAAACAACTGAGTGAGGGGAAAAAATTAAGGGCTCCTGCCCGAAGAAAGCCCAGCATACCACTCTCATTTCAGAGGAAAAACCCTTCTGTGACCAATCCTGAGTGACAAGCAGGTAGGCTCAGAGGCTGGAAAGACCCATTTCTGTAGTATGCTTGTCACTGTGTCTTTAGTTATGTACCAGAATATGAAAAAATGCCTGTCTTTCTTTCAAATTCCTTTTCAGCTTTGTACACTGCCTCCAGGTTTCCTGTTGTTACACCCTGTGAGGCCTCATTGGAGTGTACACTGTCTTGCTTGGTATTTGTTTACTTTTGGCGGCCACAGACTAAGGTCACAGGTTTGGGAACCAGTACATAATTGTAAGGACAGCTTCCTGTGTTACTTTTTCCTCCCTCTTCCTCTTTTGTAAAGTGTGAACCTTTCTTTGGAACACTGAAGTGACTGTATCGTTACAATGTTTGTATGTAGAGATTTGTTTTAACATGGCTTGTGTGGAGGATCTTTGCTCTTCTTATCTTACATTCAGTTTTATTAAGTGCTTGATAGCTTTGCCAGCCTTCTGTGGGGGAGGAGAGGTGATGGGGTGGCTTCAAATCTTGGCTTTTTTAAAGGGAAATTTGCCCAGCTTTACCTAGAGCAGTATGAGAATCTGGGGTGCTCCTGACTATTCTGCAGTCGTCCTGATCTGATTGCTTCTTGGAGAAGGAGATCAGCCTTGAAACCCTTGGAAAAAAACTGATTGTTTAATGCGCAAAGCCAGCACTGACCAAGAAGGCCCATCAGTTTGTCATGCATGGAAACCTGCATGGTGTTTCACCCTGCCAGAAGGTGTCTGTTGAGCACACAGTGAACCATGGCAACTCACACTGCTCTGCGGATGCCAATGGAGCCACCACAGCTTGCACCAGCCAAGGATCTGTGTTTTGGTGGTTAGGAAACCTGTGAGCGAAATCCTACTGAGGTTTGAGAGGAGAGGAAAATGGGTGTTGGAAGCCTCTCAACTTCGCAGGATTTCTTTGGTATTCATACACATTTGCAAGAATGTATTCCAAGCATCTTGTACTGTTATTAGTAACTTGTACTGTAGTTTGTTAGCAGTGTTGACTACCTACATAGCTAATATTCTGTTGCAACTTAGAAAACGTGTAAACAACTGCAGAAAACAGGAGTTTAGAACTTGTATGTACTGTTTTTTTTATATTAAAGCACTTCAATTAAAAGTTCAAGGAAAAATGCTTCTGTAGCCTTTGTATCTGTTTGGATAATAGATGAGTGGAAAGAGATGGCAGTGCCCTCTTCCCAAGATCTTCCCTGTTTGCTTTGGTATTAACCAAAAGAGATGGTTAAAATTTTGGGAAGAATTTTTGTGTGTTAAAATTTATTCAGCAAACAGAAGGTGCCAACAACCTAGTCCAGAAGACATTATAATCCTACGGAGTCCCTAAGACCAAGGCTGAAGTGTCTGAGGGATGGCTCCGAGTGCTGATTCACACAGTGAGTATCTGCAAAAGAGGTTTCAAATGGGGAGCAGTAAATGAATGAGTCCACGTGTAGTACATTAGATTTCCTTCATTTTTATCACAAAGTCCTTCAGAGATCACTGGAAGCCTTTCACAAGTTCATGTGAAAGTGAAGGAAAAGCATTCCCAGTTCAGGGTTATTTCAGGGGTACTGGAAAATGGTGGGTTTGAGTACCAGAGGAGTTGTGTTGGAAAACAGCAGCACACAGAGGCAACAAATGGTCCCCACCACACACCCCAGAAACTGTTTCTCTCTCCTCCCTGCCCCCTGGCCCCTCTCAATGTGCATATCCAAATACTTTCCTGGATCACATCACTGTGGGATCGGCATGCATAAACAGACATCTCTAAAGCAGCTTGTGATTTGGTGATCTCAGCCCAGCTCTTAGTAGCCAGATGCCCATAATATGAAAACAACCATCAAAACTGTCTCTTTTGCTGGCACTGTTTAATCAAAGGGACAATGGGAGAGAATGGCAGTCTTATTTCTAAAAAGAGCCCTTCAATGTCAAATTTGCCATACAGTAGAGTAGCATTCACCTCTGTGGCACAGACCACAGCCACTCTGGAGGGGAACAAAAGCTCTCAGACAGCACGCAATTAATCCAGCATCTATTAAACCAAGCACGGGTAATTTTGAAGGAACGTAACAGATTTCTGCTTTAAATTATTCTAAGCACTATTTTTTTTTAACTCTACACAGTATGCACAGCTCAAAGTACAAACCAGAAGGCTCTGTTTCTGGCAGCTGTTGTCTTCCTGGTAGCTGTTTTACATCCCTGGCATTTCATAATCCTGAGACAAAAATCAAGTGAAACACAGCAGAGAAACAGCACTAAAATGCCTCTGGTTTTCCTGCTGCCCAAAGCCGTGTTCAGGTGCTCAACGCCAGAGCAAACAATTAATTCCATTACCAAGGGAACTAATGAAATCTGGTTTCCTATGGATTGATGACAAGATGTTACCTTGGTGCCAGAGACTTAAGAAGTTAGTCTTTCTGCCAATATCTTGAATCCAGATGAGGATTCTATCAGCAGTAGTCTCTGGAATGGCATAATGAACTTTGAAATGGATATATTAAAAAAAAAAAAGACACTATATTACACAGCATACAGTGAGAGATGAAATTTACTGCTGATAGGAATTTACAAGATAATTAAAATAACAGAACAAAACAAATCTACCTTGCCTGCTAAGTCCTAAAAATGGGACTGGTGCTTATTTTATTTCTATAATGTCTCTCCCCACTTTTTCCAATGCAATGCTATTGAATAACAATGTGATTGCCAGTGGAGTGATTGCAATAAAAGACACAAAGTATTTGTAATAGTAGAGCAAAAGGTGTAAATAAGCAATATGTTTTCATAGAGGAGGAAAATTATTCAAAGATCTAAGATGGACATGTATTTTTACATCTTTTTAAAAGTGATTTGGAAAAGAAGAAGAAATGTGAGGTGAGAAGTTTACTGAAAATGAAAAACTGTTCTGGGCAGTCAAAACAAGAGTTGACTGTGAAGAGCTGCAGAAGTTTTTCATGATAATGAGGAACTGGGTTGTAAAATGACAGATGAAATCTACTGTCGATAAATGCACAGTAATGCTTCTTGGGGGAAAAAAACCACCCTAATTATACATGCATAATGAGGGGCTCTAAATCACCCATCACTGCACGGGAAAATGATCTCAGCATTGTCGCTAATTTTGAGAAAATGACAGGTCAAGGCTGAGCAGGTGTCAAAAAAGCAAGTACAATGTTAGGAATAACTAGGAAGGGAGGAAAAAAAAAGACAAAACAGAAAACATCATTAAGTCTCTGCATAAATGTGTGGTGTGGTCCTGTGCTAGGCAGTGTTTGCAGCTTCTCCATGCACCAACCCTCCCATCCCTGCAACACATCCAAAGAGCCAGAAGAGGCCCAGCCAGAAAGCAGGGGCACTATGGGACAGCTGCCATGCAAGGACAGAACCAGTGTGCTGGGACTCGCTGGCTGTCAAGAGTGATGGCAAAGGAGAGACAGGTTTGCAGGTTTGCCAGGAACAGAGAACAAGCTGCACTTCCAGCCCCATCTGGAAGCATCTGGCTCCCTGCAGCTGAGTAGGCACAGCCCAGCTGTGGGGTACATGCTCTATATGCACCTTGGTCCTCATATTTGTGGCCCCCAACCTTCCCAGAGGTCATTATTAGGGAAGGTTATCTCCACATCCAATCCCATACTTTGATTCTCATTAAAAATCTTATTTTAATAGCATTAAAATCTTATTTTAATAGCATTTATCCCTCATATCAGATTTATTTTCCTGCCCCTTTAGTATCTGTCTATGTGGGGAGAAAATGTATTGACACTTTAACTGTAGTTCCTCAAGGAAGTTAAGCTGTGCTCTCTTATTTCATTCACTGTGCCCTCTTATTTCATTCACTTATTTCATTCACAGTGGATAAAGATAATCAAAGAGCTTGTGGTAGAAGCCTTTGCCATTTTTTCTGGTACAAAAGCCATATGAAATAGTAAATTGAAATTCAGCAAACCACACCTAAACTCCAGGTGGGTGCAAACCTAGCAGCGCACCAGAAGAGGGTGGACCTCCCATCCACTTCTGTGGGACCAGGATTTCATCTCTATGTGTAGAAGCTTCCTAAGAAGATGCAACAGTGATTGCAAAGACTAAAGGTGGTTCTTCATCACAGTAGAAATCAATTTAGTGTCTTTTTACTACGTGTTCCTGCAATGCCCAGATGCATCTATCTATTCTGATACCACAATAGCTCACTGTTGTACAGTGCCTCTGCTTTAGTGATTTGTTTACATGCCCATCTTATTCTTGGGAAGTATGAATTCATAGGAACTGAAAGAGCATCCTTCCCAAGGCTGGCTGGTTGTGCTGAATGGAAGAAAGACCCATCAGTCTCAAAGAGACGTTATGGAGAGCAAAGGTACCTCCCCAGCAGCCTGACCTTGGCAAGGAGACAGGAGACTCGCCATTTGCGACAGGCAGCAGTTCCCTTTAATAAATATTTCATGGCAGAGAACGGCAGACTTGGGGAGAAAATGGAGGGCAGGGTTCAGCCTGTGACGCAAGGTGATGTGACCAGACCTTGTCTAGCAGGGCTGGAGGCCACCTAATTGGCATTCCCGCACCATGCTTACGAAGAGCATTCTGTAGTCCTCTGGGAGCACAAAAATAATTAAAAGGCCCCTCAGCATGCAGTGTTGCTAATGGGCTGTTGCCTGCCATGGGATGTTTTTGTGCTCAATTAGAGCTGAGCAAGACAGACTGCTCAAAATTCCCATCTCCCTCTGAGAGACACCTGGGTGGACCAAGCCTCCTTTTCTGCTGCACGATGGCCCTTGTTGAGCGCTGCCCTCAGCGTTTGTGCGAGGAGCGGCAGGCCGGGGCGGCGGGAGCTGCGTGCGGCAGAGCCCACAGCGCTGAATTCGCCGTGCCGCAGACGGAGCCGTGGCACCGGGCAGAGCACACGGTTCTGTACGGGGCTGCAGACCGGGCGCTGCTCGGTTCAGAGCCCTCATCCCCGCACAGCCGGCACCCCCGCGGTGACCCAGAGCTGCGGGATGGCCGCGCATACGGCACAAAGCAAAGGCCCTGGATCTCCTCCAGGCAAGGCCTCACTCACACATTGCATATCCGTGTAGACTTCTGGCTTCTCCTAGCACAGTGCAAGGCTCAGTTGGTGCCAGCCACAGCTGCCTGGCAAAGAATTCCTTCAATATTCTCCCCCTTTTCTTTGTGCAGATCCTTTATGGGATGATGCTGAGAGACCTATCAACACCTTTTGTGCTTTCTCAGGAGGGATTTGGCCACCTGAAGGCAATTTCTCTCTGCAATCTCAGATTGCCTTCTGTCCAGGCACCTGTTTCATTTACCAGCCCTGCTGTGGAGGCTGCCTTGCCAGGTCTCTGTGCCTAATGCTGTCTCTGCTGCTCTCACAAGCCTTGATTCACTTTGCAAACCATCGGTGCAAGCCATTGCTGCCTCGTTTGGGCCAAAACAACAATTCGTCTCCGAGGTACGGTTGTTTGAGTATTCATGGGCTAAACTTTAGGTAATTAGCATTGTTAATGTTCTCCGTGTGATATTACAGCTGTGGGCCTCATTAAAATATTCTCCTGGGAGAAGTCAGGTGAGAAGTCAGGTGTCAGCTTTGCTTCATGTGGAAAAGCCTGCCTGTTATTCTGAGAGAATTATTTGTTTAAACACTGGATTTACACATGATGGTGTATTTAATCCCCAGTGCTTCTGACAGCCAGAGAGCTGGGCTGAGCTGCTGAGCAGCACTGGCTTGGAAGCCAGCAGCAAGAATCTCCATTCCTTTCTGCCTAGGAAAGACTTGGGCCTGTGGGCTCCTGCCCCAGACACAGGCAGCAGGCAGGAGTCTGCAGGTTGGCCTCCCCAGGGCCTACTGCCCCAGCCCACCATAAGGCCCTGTCAGATCCTGGCCAGCCCCAGCCCCAGCAGCTTCCCTGAGCAGCAGGGGCCTGAGGAGTGACAAAAGGCCACAGAGGAGCTCAAACTGATCTGAACCAATGGCAGTTCAGGTGATGAGAAGAGAAAAAAAGAAACAGACTCTGCTCCTCAGCCAGAGGATGGCATAGCTCAGGGCCGTTTTCTCATGGCACTACCAGGCACAGTGGTGGTCATTCCATCCTGTCTCTGTATTTTGTACAAGGAGTGGAGACTTGAGGATGTTGCCATCCCTGG